GACGCCACCCAACCACAAATTTAGTCCTAGGAAGAAAGAGTGAGTGAGCGAGGCAGGGCCCCAACTCTAATCAACTCGAGTCAAGAACATGCAAGAAGTATGTACCAGCAGTTGCTGTCCAATTACTCATCTTCCTTGCTAACCCAGCCAAAGCAGATAGATATCTCAGCTTAACTCTAGCTTGGGGGAAAAGTGGTGCTGGGTGTTGGGTGTGGGAGAAGGGAGCAAGCAAGCAAGCGACTACAGTGCTGGCGGCCGGGCCACCAACATGGCTTAACTGCTAACTTGCAAGTGCAGAATACACAAGGAACTTAATGGTGCAATGATGATCCTATATCAGGGAAGCAGATCGATTGAAGAAAGCGTTATAGAAACCTAGGTAGCTTCACATCTCATGCAAGGCAGCGTGGTGGGATGATGGGAGGTCACATGCGTTGGTTGACCGGCCGGCATATGCCATCGAAGGCGTTGGCGCCAGGCCTTGCAGCACCAGAGTGTATTAGCTTATTGATCAGTTCATCATTCCTTGATGCATGCATGCAGGCATACAGTGGGTTGATGGATCTTGTATGATCCGAATTCTTTTGAAAAGGACCAGGGTTTATTGCACCGATTCTTCTACTTTTTTTGATTTTTTGATTTCTTTTTATTCTTCTACGTTGACACACTGCCTTTTCCGTCTATGATCAATCAAGTTAATTCTACATGATCTCTGCATTTCTCCACCTATCTACCGTGTCGATCTCGAACAGTGCTCGTGCGTGCGACATGTAGTCGATCTGCTGGACGTACGTACGCTAGCTGAAGAGGTAACGACGGATCTATAATTTGGTGAGGGTGCACTGCAGTACTGCACCACGGTGGAGTCGGCCACCACCCCGGTTTGAATTACAGGCTCACGGGGGTACAAGGGCGTCGCTGTCCATCGACCAACACACACTAGATATATCTACCTATATACATCGCAAATCCTGCCCGGTGGTTTGGTCGATCGATCTCTATAGTACCTCACGGGTCAACACGAGGAAAATAAAGGGTACGTCGCTTCCGGAAAAAGGGACCCGGGAACGCTCCGGCGCCATGCCCAAGCGTTACGTCACGCGCAGATGGACCGGACAAGACATCTCCCGACTTTCGACACGACAGAACCATGTTCTCGCTCAGCTGAGCTCCTGAGTTTCAACCCTGCTGACGAATTTTCCTCTCGGCGGAGAAGATGCCAGTGCCCCCGTTTACACTAACCGACCACTGCAAGTGTCTTGCTAACGGGCTAAGAGCGTCTACAACAACAAACACCAACATCCATCCCTCGAACGTCCGTGAACGTGTCCGACGCGTCTGTGGACAGTGATCGAACATCACAAAAAAAAGATTCCAGAACCACAAACATCGTTTCTAAATCATTAAATTCATATTGTTACATGTGACGTGAAACCTAATCTAAGCGAAGCTCGTCCGGCTCTGCTGTGCCCATGTCCAGCAGTCGGCTGCATCCTTCGAAGTGTTGCTCTGGTCGCTGCAAGATAGAGTAGGACATGAGACACAAACAGGCTCACGAGACTAAAAGCGCCACCATTTCTCATGCCCTACTCTTCCTCGTCGGAGTCCGAAACCTTCACGTTGTCGGTGGACGCAAGGTTGATGATGGATCCGTCATGGCAGGAGCCGGCGATGTCCACCATGACGCGGTTGCGGCGCCTGGGATGACCTTGCATCATACGTGGCGCCGGAGAGTGCGACTCCGCCTCGTCAATGTACGCCGCGAGGGCTTCTTGTTAGAGTATACGTAGTAACCTCTTGTATGAATAGTGTACGCGCCTTGTAAACCTAGTCAGCGTATGTACGTGAGTAGAGGGCATGCAGGCTGCCCACGATCTGTCCTGGTAGTGGCACACGACCTCTCTGTAAAGTGTATATAGACTCACCCAGAGAGCTAATCGAATTGTGTTGAATCCCATAGTCTTTCTGTCAGGGCTACCTCTCCATTACTCCATGATTACAAATTCGAGCTACAAACCCATGGGCAAAGGGGGATCGAGAGGGAGGAGAGAGAAACACACGCACACGCTATCCTTGCCAGCCACCAGCCGTCTGCCGCCGCCTACTCCCGAAGGGGAACACTCTGTTTATATCGTTACAAGGCCAAGGGCCCATCCTAGGCCTGCAAGCCGAGACGGAAGTAGAGGCTTGCGTTTGGGTCTTGGGCTGGGCCTTTGATGCTCTTCCTGTGCTCTGTCGCTGACAATCCCCCCCTGTGGAGATTCGGCTTGTCCCCAAGCCGATGCGCGAGAGAATCGCTGCTTGAGCTCATCCAGGTCTTCCCAAACAGCAAGATCTTCAGAATCACCAGACCACTGCAATAACACTTGGAGAATTTTCTTGCCTCCACGAAGAACCACCCGTTGTTGGAGAACTTTCTCAGGTACTCGCAAGTTGTCGTCAGTAGAGGGAAGCCGAGCCAACACTTGATCATCATTTTTGAGAACCTTGAGAAGCAGAGAAACATGGAAAACAGGTTGTACCTTGCTAGAAGTAGGAAGATCCAATTTATACGCCACCTCGCCCACTTTCTCCAGTATGGAGAACGGACCAAAGAATTTGTAGGCCAGTTTGTGATTGGCCCGAGGCACGACTGAAGACTGAAGATATGGCTGAAGCTTGAGAAAAACTTGGCCACCCACCTCAAATGTTCTCTCTGTTCTATGTTTATCAGCTTGAGCCTTCATGCGTTGTTGAGTGCGAAGCAATTGCTGTTTCACTGATTCAAAAATAACTTGCTGTTGGTCAAGCCAAAGAGCTAAATCAGGAGAAGCCACTGTGCAGTCAGGGGTTATCCCAAAGTGACGAGGCAGATGCCCGTAGATGATCTCAAACGGAGTCTTCGATGTAGCTGAATGCCAGTTTGTATTATACCAGTATTCACACAAAGGTAGCCATTTTGCCCATTTGGAGGGATGTGCACTGACAAAGCACCTAAGGTAGCACTCCACTTGCTGATTTACACGTTCGGTTTGACCATCTGATTGTGGGTGGCGGGCTGAGCTCATTCGCAGTTGTGTCCCTTGTGTTCGTTGGAACAGCTCTTTCCAAAACAAACTGGTGAAAATGCGGTCACGGTCAGAGACAATGGACAAGGGTATACCATGCAGCTTGTAGACAAAATTCAGAAAAGCCTCTGCCACGACCTGCACTAAGGGTATGAAGTGACCATATTTTGATAGCTTATCAATGACCACTAGGATGCAATTGAAACGCCCTGAAGATGGCAAGCCTTCTATAAAATCCATTATGACCATTTCCCATGATAGACTTGGTATTGGTAAGGGTTGCAAAAGGCCAGGATACGGAACTCGCTTGGGTTTAGCTTGCTGACAAACAGTGCAATGCTGCAGATACTGCTTGACGATGGATTTCATATGAGACCAACGAAAGAGCTGACGAATACGTCGATATGTGACAGGGAAACCTGAGTGCCCACCCAATGGAGAATCATGAAAAGCTTGGATGATTTTAGAGTGCAAACCAGCATCTGCACCCACCCAGAGACATCCCTTAGTGCAAATCAGCCCATTTTTAAGAGAAAATTTACTGTCGGATGAAGGGGCGGCAGCTAGTTTCTGTAGAAGTTGTTGAGAGAATTGATCCACTTGATAGCTAGCAGCAATGTCAGAAAACCAAGCTGGTTGCACTGCAGTCACGACCTGCAGTTCCACTGTATCATGGGGGCGACGGGACAAAGCATCGGCTGCATTATTTTCAGTGCCCTTCTTATACTGAATTTGATAACGGAGCCCCATTAGTTTTGTGAGAGCCTTTTGCTGCCATTCAGTATTGAGACATTGATCAGCCAAACTGGTTAAACTGCGCTGGTCAGTCTGTATGATGAATTCATTTAGCAGCAAGTACTGACGCCAATGCTCCACGGCTAGCAATATCGGTAAGAATTCCTTTTCATACATAGAGAGGGATCGGTTTCGTGGTCCCAGAGCCTTGATAACATAGGCCAATGGATGACCATCCTGCATGAGGACATCACCTATCCCCACATCACAGGCGTCAATGGCAATCACAAAGGTTTTACTAAAATTTGGCAGTGCGAGGACCGGGGCAGACATCAGGGCTTGTTTCAGATACTGAAAGGCTTGTTCCTCAACCTCAGTCCAGCGGAAGATTACCCCTTTTTTAAGCACAACTGTCAGCGAACGACAAGTGATACCATAGTGACGGATGAATTTTCTGTAATATCCTGCCAGTCCTAGGAATCCACGGACTTCCTTGACATTGGTTGGAGTAGGCCAAGTTTGAATAGCTGAAATTTTATCCGGGTCGGTGGAGACCCCCTGCTCGCTAATGATGTGTCCCAAGTATCCAACCTGACGTTGTGCAAATGCACATTTTGACAGCTTAACACGCCACTGATGTTCAGACAACATCTTGAGTACCAGGCGCAGATGGATTAGGTGATCCTCGAAGGAGAAGCTGAAAACAAGTATGTCATCAAAGAAAACAATCACGTACTTGCGATTGCCAGGTTCCAGAGTATGATTCATGCCAAATTGGAAGGTGTTTGGTCCACCCATCAATCCATATGAGAGAACCGTGAACTCATAATGACCCAAATGCATCTGAAACGTTGTTTTGTATTCCTCCCCAGGTGCTAAGCGGATCTGATGGTAACCAGAGCGCAAGTCAAGTTTAGTAAACCAACTGGCACCTGCGAGTTCATCCAAAAGCTCGTCAATCACAGGAATTGGAAACTTGCTCTTCTGCGTCATTGCATTAAGGTGGTGATAATCAATCACAGGACGCCAAGATTCGTCCTTCTTCTTGACCATAAGGAGTGCTGAAGAAAAAGGGCCGTTGCTCAGGCGGATGACACCACTAGCAAGCATCTCCTTAATTTGCTTCTCGAGCTCTGTTTTCAGAAGAGGAGGTAACCTGTAGGGCCGCATAGATACTGGGGTGGCACCAGGTAACAGATGAATGGTGTGATCGTACGGTCATCTGGGGGGGAGGCCAGTAGGGGGCTCAAACACATGTTTATATTCATCTAGTATCAACTGTACTTCTGGAGGAATAGGTAAATCTGGAGTTGTCAGTAAAGAACAAACTTCTATCATTGTGATCTCAGGTAGTAACGCAACAGTGCCCAGGAGTGTAATTTCAGAACCATTATGAACAAAAGATAACCAGTGATGATCCCAATCCACCCACATTGGACTGTGTGCAGATAGCCAATCCATGCCCACAATGCCATCATAACTGCCCAATGGAAAAAATTTGAAAGAAGTGAGAAACTTATGTCCATCACAAGACCAAACACCATCAAGCAGTTGAGATGCACAAGGCACCATATCTCCATTTGCAATTTTAACTAATGCTTTGACCATCGGTGACACCCCATGTATCTTGTCAGACAAGAAAACATCCAAGAATGAATGTGAACTACCAGAATCCACAAGAAAAATCAGATTAAGCCCTTGCAACTGAACTCTTAATTGCATGGTTTTAGCTGGTTTAGAAGTTGTTTTCCCCAAGGCAGCAGCAGAAACTGACATCATGTGTACTTCAGACTGAATTTCACTCGCAACAGAGTCATTGACGTCTGAATTTTGTAAGAACTCAACCATTTCTTGCACCATGTGGAGCTGAACTTCTTTCTTGCATATGTGATCCTTGCCCCAGCGCTCACCACAAATGAAGCAAAGACCCTTTGCCTTACGAAATGTTCTCAGAGCTCCCCATTTATCCTCTGAAACAGTACGTCTGTAACTGTCGATAGGTCTCCTTTCTTCATGACCTTTCTGTACAGAAGATTGCACAGCAGAACTGGTGGGTGGAGGAGGGAGTGGAAGAGCACTTGCACGACGGGCATTCTGGGAGTTGATCATGGTGGATGGACTAATAGTCCCCAGCTCTTCATGTAGCAGCGCCAATTGATAGGCCATCTCTAAATCAGGAGGTTGCTGAATGCCCACAGCCACTCTGACTGCTGGTTTGAGACCTTCCATAAAGCGAGTAACATAGTGCACAGAATTGGGTGAGGTCTAATAGGCTGCTAACTGATCGAACAACTCAGCGAAGCGCTCCACATAATCCTTGACTGTACTTGTTTGTTGTATACTGAAGAACTTCCTCAGAATAGACTGATGCAAATTACGGCCGAATTTGTTATGCAACAGCCTGCAAAACTCATCCCAGGTTGCATTGGGTACACGCCGACGAACGGACTCCAACCATCGAGCTGCTGGGCCTTCAAACAAGGACGTAGCGAGAGATATCCACTGGTTCGTTGGTGTGTTCCAGAATCTGAAGTAATCCTCGCTGCGTGTCTGCCGGAGTTTGGGATTGGATCCATCGAAACGAGGAAGCTCGATACGAGGACCAAACCCGTAGACATCAGAAGTGGTTGGCCGAAAATTTTCGATCGAATTGAACGGCACTCTCTGCAGAGTCTGGTCGAACTGCATACCTCTGACTAGGGGCGGAACATAGCGTTACCCCTGCCCGCGGTTTTCAGCGTCGGCGCGGTGCCCTTCGGAGCTATTGGAACTGCTGCTCGGCCCTTGTGATGGTGTGGCCGGCGCGCCTCGATGGGGCTCCGACGGCGGTGGAGCAGAGTGGTCGAGCCCCTGCCGCAGCTCATCGATGTCGACGCCGATCGACACCTTGACCTCGTCGATGCGGCCTGAGAGGTGGTCGAGCTTGGCGTCGAGCTGCGCGATCGCTTGCGCCGTGGAGTCGACACGGTCGCGGTCGGCTCGGTCGAAATCGGCTCGGAGCAGATCATAGATGGCCCTCGTCTCCGGCGGAATTTTATCCATGGCGGCTGCGTGTGGTTTGTGGGCGAAGCGGGTGTTGCGATTGTGGACCGACACAGCCGCCGGATCTAATGGCTCTGATGCCAGATTGTCAGGGCTACCTCTCCATTACTCCATGATTACGAATTCGAGCTACAAACCCATGGGGAAAGGGGGATCGAGAGGAAGGACAGAAACACACGCACACGCTATCCTTGCCAGCCACCAACCGTCTGCCGCCGCCTACTCCCGAAGGGGAATGCTCTGTTTATATCGTTACAAGGTCAAGGGCCCATTCTGGGCCTGCAAGCCGAGACGGAAGTTGAGGCTTGCGTTTGGGTCTTGGGTTGGGCCTTTGATGCTCTTCCTGTGCTCTGTCGCTGACACTTTCTCCTTTCATCACTTCTACTGCCTATCGTGCCCGCTGCCTAGCACGGCGGGCACGCCACACCATACTTGGGTCGGATGATGCTCAAGCGTTCACGCCCGCCTCGGCGTACCAACGTAGCAGTTGCGCATCCGCCAACGAATTGGGACACCATATGGATCGCACCGCCTCCGGTGAGGCAACGACGGCACACCTCGCACCAGATCCATGCGTCATTTGGGTGGATGCAATGGATTCCCAGCGAAAGGAGTCCGACCACCGCAGTCGGCCAGCCTCCTCCCGGGAGCGGTGCAAAGCTCCAGGTCAACGGATCTGGAGGTATAGGACTCGGATTCGTTGTCCGCCATGCCGGAGACGGTGGGAGCTCGCCTGACGGGAGCTTGTGGGCGAAGGAAAGTGGACTGGAGGGGAGTGGAGTGGAGAGGAATGCATCTACGGTTTCATCCAAAATGTGGGTATGGTCCAATTTATGTGAGGTCGGATGGGTCAGCGTGGACCGGATCCGACGTGGCTGGCGTGTCGACGTACATCCGAGCATCCCCTATCCACGCGACATATGGGCTAAATACAAGGAGTGCCGCGCCCGACTGGATATGGGGCGCCCAACTGGATGGCAACCCGTCCGGGTTTGGGATGAGTATGAAGAGTGCGGTTGTAGATGCTCTAAGTGGCTATGACGCACATGATCCTCTTTCAGAGTGTTGACGAAATCTTGACTAGCTGCACATCTCCGAGCAAAGCTCTTGACCCGAAGCGTGTGTTTGTGGTGGTGTGACTGTGTGAGTGAGTTAATAAGTTTCTGCTTGCTCTGTGTTGCATCCTGCGCAGCCGATTGATGATGGAGCCGACACAGGGTGGTGATGAGGGGTGACCGATTGTCAGCGCACGGCGGGAAGAGGTCCCATCTCCCATGCATGCCATGGTCCAGCCGGCGGGCCGGCTGCTCCTGTAGTGGCAGCTGCTGCTCGTCACAGGCCGGCGTGAGAAGGAAGCATCCTCCTGTTGAGATGTGTTGTGTTGGATTGGATACATCCCCCACATCGCCCTCGGCTGCTACACCTCTCCCCTCCTTTAGGCCGGTTTTGTCCGGCCATCCTACGTGCACCGATGGCATATAAGTTTGGTCCTAGTGAGCACACCCTATCATATGGATGCCCATTATCGAAGGAAACATCCTGTGGATGGATCCTGACATGGGTTAGGGTCCTAGCTAGGAGAGGCCGACTACTATCTTGCCTAGCTTAACTGCCTTTACTCGAAATCCTCATTGGCCGTTCGATCGAGCACAGATTGGACAGCTCGGATCAAGGCATGCGGCATTTTTCTTTATTGAAAATAAGGGCTAAAACATCCCGACCTCAGCATCCTAGAACATAAACATACAATCAGAGTACAGAGTAGTAGGCAATGACAAAACCACTAAGTCTCAATCATCTAGAGCAACACCTTCAACAAGTGTGCACTCAAGCAGACATCACTAGATCTAGTCTTTGAAGTTCGTGACTATGATATTATTTTGTTGTCATTTCTTGCTGTCGGATGAACCAACCAATCAAGGTCAGATCATCGGCAAAAAAAGAAGACAAATGCAATGTCTTCATCAAGTGGATGACACAGGTGTGTCGCTGCCAGGTCCAACGAAGGTATACGACATGGGCCCTGTTTGGATCTCTAGGTTATAGTTAGTTTGGGTTAGTTTGGACTCAACTAACCCAAAAATATCCAAATAGAAAAGGTTAGTTTGGGTTAGATGCATCTAACCTATCAAAAAAACTAACCCATCGAAGAGGTGCTTATTTGGGTTAGTTCTCCTCAGGATCATTAAAAAACACAATTTTCTCTCGCTCTCCTCGCAGCAGCCCCGCCCTATCCTCTCGTTTCAACCCCATCGTCTCCTCGCGGCCCGTCCGCCCGCCGGTAAGCAGTCGCGACTCCTTGCGCGGCCCTTCCCCGTCGGCCTCGGCCAGCGCCTTGCGCACGGATGGCGTATTCGGCCAGCGAGCTGGGCGAGAGGCCAGCGCGACTCCTTGTAGGACGCGTACCCGCCTGCCTTGGACAACACAGCTCTCGGCCAAATGATCGAGAAAGTGTATTTATTGTCAATCTAACCCTGCCATTCAAACATCTCTTTGGTTAGAGTTAGTTCAGGGTTACTTCAAGGTTAGAATCTAATTCTAACCATAAATTAAGTTAGAGTATCCAAACAGAACCATGATTCTGGCAACCCACAAAACAGTAAGACAAAACGTGACTTCGGGTCGAAAGTGCCGCGACTGCCGTGTTTTCAGGCTTCATCTGGAAACCGTGTATTTGCTTTTGCTTCAGCTTCGCGCTACACTAAACAACGGCAGGCTAAAATTTCTAGTTCTTCAGGCTATTGTTTGAATTATCAGTTTCCATAAATGAAAATCGGGAGCAATCCCTAACAGGTTTGCGGTTGTGCGTGCATCCCGTCCTGGGAGAGGAGACATGTACCTACAGTTATTAGCTCTGCTGTCAACCTGAGAAAAAGGAACCATGATCTCAATAGCATAGCAGTAGACATGATGCCTTTGCTTTTCTTGATTTGCCAGGAAGGGGGGTACAGGTACATGGAGATCATTAGATGCTAGTAGTAACATGCAGCAATCAATTCAAGCCCCTGCTCAGCACGTCTCTCTGGAGCCCCCACACGGACGGACACGGTCCCGGTCCCTCCCGGCGATGGCATGTGCGAGCCCCCCGGCCGGAGACCCGGACGCCAACAGTGCGGTGACTACTGGTGCATGATGTTCAAGGCCAACCCGTTGCTACACGTTAGAGGAGCTCGTGGCTGGCAGAAATCTACGTTGCCCATAATTTAGTTGGAAGGAGGACAAGCATGTTAGGTCAGATGGATCCATGCGTTCCGTGTACACGTGAGATGGCAGTCCTGCATGTGTGCCAACAGGGGCGCTTCTCTGTCCCGTCTGGCTCCAACCAACCTCGAAACAGGTAACAGGCACGCATTCGAAGGTTGAAGATGCCAAAATGATACTGTATAGGCAAACAGAACCCCAAGAGTATGAGATGAGCACGTCAAACGTCGTTTACAATCATTGGCAAAAAATATTGCTCAAGAGAAGCAAGTATGCCACTTAAAAAGAAAATCCAAGTATTATGGAGAGAAGCAAGAGAAACACGTAAGGAAAGCATATCCAACGTCCTTGATGAGGTTAAGGATGCTTTTTTTTCGAATATGCACAAGTGTGCATGTCATATGTTAAAGAAGAAAGTCAAAGAAAGCCTCCACCACACGTTACATGTACAAGTCTGTGCGGCTTTTAGCTCGCACCCACTCCACTTAGAGCGACTCCAGCCGCGCCCCCAACAGCCCCCCCCCCCTTTTTTAGCGGTGGCGTGCAAAAATCGGCGCAATCGCGCCCCCAGGAGCCTGTTTTTTGCTGGGTTGGGCCGAAATTGGTGCCGACGGACCTAGACTGAACCCGGCGCGCTGGGGGCACTCGGGGGAGCCGGGGCGATCGAATTTGGCGCGAAAGAAAGGCGGGCCCGCCGAGTTAGCAACCCACGCACCTCGTCGTCCTCATCGCCTTGGTTTCCCACGGGGAATCAATGACAAGGTTGCCCGCCGGTCAGCCTTTCATTGATTCCTCAAGGGCGGCGCGGGCGCTGCGACGCCACACCTCCCGCCACGCGTACACACGTCGCCCACCCCCTGGCCGCTATATAAACGCGCCCCCCTTGCCTGAGCCACTCCACCCACAGCCGCCGATCTCTCGCCACTGAGCTCTCACCCCGTGCGCGACGCCGCCGAGCTCTCTCCCCGTTCCTCTCCCTCCCCTCT